AAATTAAATTCATTTTATATGAAAACTGCCTAACTGATTTTCTCAAGCCACTTACAAAAGTCTCTAAATGAATATTTGGTGAAAGTTTACAATTGGGCGCCCCTTGTTTCTTGCCGATTCTTTTTTGACGCCAAGAACGGCGCCAGGAAGGCACAATTTGAAGATGGCCGCTACACAAAACCAAAATAGGAAGTAAAAGAATTGCACAAACACTGTGTCCATGTACACATCGATCTGTTTTCACTTAAAAAAACATCCTAGAATTGCACAAACTTGGCATTGCGCACTGCCTTAAATTTGTCCATGTACTTTTCATTTAAATAAAATCAGGAAGCTAAAACAAAGTTAAAGCTATCATGGTAACCAGAAGTGAGGTTTCATCGCCAAAATTAAAAAAAAAAAAAAATTGTCGCCAGTCGAAAGGACACCCAATTTAACACTAGAGCCAAATATTTAATAGCCTATATAAAATACTATCTATATAATAAATTTATGCTGCATGAACCATTCCATTTTCATAATACTGTAGAGACTTAGTCAAGAAATGAATAAATCAGCAATGCAATCGCCTGGATTCGAACTCCAGACCTTCCAAATACGTGTCGAGCGTGCTTGCAGTTACACCACGGAAGGTATGCGGAAACGAGGGAGAAAATAACTTGTAATATTATTATATTGAATGCATTTTATTTATTGAAACACGTAAAGACAAATGGAAGATATTATGCATCGTTGATCGGCAACAATATCTATTGACTGCGCAGCCAAATTTGTCGCAGAGTGAAAACGATAAACATAACAAAAAGGTTTTACTTGCATAACGAAACGTTTGATAATGAGAACTAGATTTTCTTCAAATAATTACTTACTACAAATATTTGTTTACTTTTATATAGCAACTTTACAAAATTTCAAAATTACTAATTCAAATACTGATTTCTCTGAATTTAAAATTAAATAGTCTTTAATCTTAATACATAAATTTTAGCTAAATTTAACAAATGAATATACATGTTACAATTTAAATCAGAAATAATATTCTGATATTTCCTTTTATATAAATTGAACGGTTTGTTTTTATTATTCTCAGTAGCAAATTATGTCCGAAATTATTTCGATACATTCAGAAACAAAATAACATAGCAAACAGCATACCTGCAGAAGCCGTTTGTTTTCTGACACAGAGGCATTTTGATTTTCAAATGACTTTCTTTAACTAAATATTTTTCTTTGTGTTTCTTACCCAAAGCTTTCTGTATGATTGTTTGCTTTACTTTCAGAGAACATTTATTCAATATTTGTTTTCAGCTTTCTTCCCTTTTTAATGCACCTTACTTGTTGTTTTACTTTTATGTTAGATTTTTTTATTTACTTCTTTGTTTTGGAAATGCACCTGAGTGAGAATAAATTCTTAAAGCTTGTTTCAAGACTATTTTAATTCTAAAGAGCAAATCTTTTATATTATCTGTTTTTTTATTTTACCTGCATGTTTACTTTTTAGGTATGCTGTTCCAAAGATATATTCTTTCTTTGTGAAGCTGACCCTTGGAATTTGTATTTCTTACTTTAGTCCCTTCGCAACTAGAGCTTAGTAATAGATGCTTTTTATTTTTTTATTTATAAATTTTCCTATTTTTTCTTCTGTTTTCTTATTTGAAAGCTTTTTCTGCTTTAGACTGACATGGTTTGTTTAACAACATCTCTTGTAAAATGATTGAGACCCTAGATAACAAATAAGTCTATTTTGTTAATAATTGAATAGAGAATGGATAAGCAAAACTTAAAAATTTTTAATCTGCCAAGACTGAATTTAATAGACTTTGCAGAAGATAGTTTTTATTCCTTTAAAATATATAAATCTGGAGCTCTTTTTCCTGCTAATAAATAATATCGATTGTATATATTAATTTACTAATCGATCTAAATAATAACATCGATTAGTTGCGTTTTCTTTCACTTTCTCCTTTAAGCCTTACTTTGTCATCTCTAAACAAAAAGGAAAGACTTGTCTTTTAAAAAGATTATTCAACAAATAAAAAAGTTGCTAACACAATTTTAAATTTCCGTAATTCAGACATAATCGTGTTCAACAACCTGTGATAAATTTTACGGAGCTGAAAATTCCAATTTTTGCAATAATAATTTAAATAATATTGGTGCAAATTTTTATAAATATCTGCATTCATTTTATTTTATACATTTATTTATTTTTATTTATTTATTCATTGATATTTAGTTTGAAATTTCTTTCAATTTATAAGCAAATTTGTATGTATTTTTGCAATGCTGCATGTTGTTTTTATTCACTTACTTATTGATTTAACATGCTTGTATTTTGTAGAGTAATTTCATGTTTATGTATTTAAGTTTCAAAATTTTAGCCATCTATTATGTTTCTAAATGTTTGCTTCACATATTTTTATAGAACCTTTAATTCTGCATCATTTGGTGTTGGAATTGTTAGATTAGCTCAAGCAGAATCAAAGATATGAGCAGAAAACGTTTTATTTGACCTTTGCTGTAAATTTGTAACATTTGATATTTTCTCGCCAGTTTGACCAGTGTCTGTTGTCTCGCTCGTAGGCAGTTACAGATATAAGCTTGCACGCTGCCTCGTCTCACCTTAGTTCAGTTTAAAGCTATATAAGAAACACTAGCGTTTTGCTGCCAAACATCGCGCTGGATCGATTACCGTTTTCGATTTTGCTCTATGATCGATTATGATAATTCCTTTCATATTAAGAAACATTTCGTCTTAAGTCAATTTTTCTTCTTGGGTTATTTATAGTTGTTTATCTTTCCTGTAAACGTTTGTTATTCTACTCAATGTTTTGAAATACAATGTTTTGAAATACAATGTTTTGAAATACAATGTTTTGAAATACAATGTTTGAAATACAATGTTCTACTCAATAGAATGTTTGTTATTCTACGCAATGCGATTGTTATTCTACTCAATACAATGCAAGTAGAAAAGTTTTCCTTTCAACTGGCTTAGTTATTTAGGGTAATATCTATGCAGCGTAACAACAAGAATATAATCTTTAAACTAGGTCTTGATGAAAATCAAAACAATTATGTTTATCAGGTAAAGGTCAAACTATGCTAATGTAACTTATCAAGTGAACCATGTAGCTTTTATTTGCCATTTCGATGTACTAACTGTATATACAACCATAAGCGTATTAAATTAACGACGGGACTTGAGCAGGCAGAACATGCTATGATTTTACCCTCTAAATAGTGTCTCTTTTCTACCTCATTTGAATATCACTCGATCTAGAAATTTACATTCTGGAAGGAAAGTGAGAAGCAAGGAGGATAGGAAAACGAATTAACATAATATACCTGGTTAGTAAAATAAAACAGATCTTAGAAGTTTATTAGATTTGGATTTTTTGAAGCAGAAAAGTTGCGAAATCAAATATGCTTCCGCCGGAATTAAGAAACACGGATCACCCACGAGCTAAGATTTTCACCACAACAGTATGGGAAAATGCAATAATTGCTTATAATTTTCCCTTTCGATCAATTACAACTGAATGGTCTGAGCTATCGAATGATTAATTTAACATTTCCCAGCTTCCAAATTTAACAATGTATTTCGTTTTTTTCGAAGAAGGAAGAAGGTCATTCATATCAATGTAATCCTATGAAACTTAATCTGATTGAAGAGCGAAAGTTGCAACAACTACTTTTATTCTTCAAGAGCTATTTTAGCTAATAGCTAATTAGAATTTAAATTAGTAGTTATCTACGGAACTGACGCACATTAATATAAAACATAAAACCAAAGCAGAAAAACTTCGCATGGCGTAGATTTGGCACTAAAATCTCTGCTGTTTTCTCTATCGTTTACGCCAACTTGAAAGTTGTTTTCTAATATTTCCATTTAGCTGACAGTTCGTTTAGCTTAAAATGCATTTAATTTGCATCATCACATATAACTTTACGATTAGTTAACAAAATGTACATTGGTCTGAACCATATCACGATGTTTTAATAAAAATTTTTATTCTTATCTGATTAAAGGCTGTTTCTAGCGTACATAATAAGAAATAATATAAATATCTTTATTCCATTGATTCAAAGATCATAGATGTCAAAATTAAATAGATAGGCAAACTTAAATCGGAGTAAATATTGTAAGAAAGGTCTGTCGATTTCGTTGGTAAGTAGTTGGTCTCTTTTCAGAAAAAAGAAATGCAGCAGTGGGAGGAGCTAAACGGTTTTTACATAGAAAGCATTGAGTGGAGCAAAGAGAAAAGGAATGTTGAGTGATCTTCCGAGTGAAATAGCAATGAATCGTTACAAAGTTAAGATATTAGGATTTTGAAGAAAAACTGGAATTAATTTCATTAGCAAAGGAGGAATTTTTGTTAATCGGAAAGGGTTCAAGGAAATTCAGTTTACTTATCTGAAAAATCTTTATGCACATTTACGCAGATCCAAAACCAAAATTGATTAAATTGATTAAAATTATGATTAACAATGATTAACTCCCAAACGAATGTTTTTCCCAACATCAGATTCACATTCCTTGCAGAGAAATTTCAATGGTGTTTCAGTCTGGCTGATGTATGTCAAACTACACTGACAGGATATGCTATAAATTCCTCAAGAAATATACGTTTTGCAATATAAGCATTCTCATTATGTGCTAAAAATTCACAACTATATATGCAAGAGGACGATACAAATAAATATAATATCTACCGAAATTCTGCATTTGCAGTACATAAATCCAATTTCTTCAATCAAGATTGATTTTAATATACTATTTACTGCAAATAAAGCGGGACAGATTTTACTGCAATTTACTGTTCCAGTTATTAATGTAGTTTTTTCATGTAATTTTGTAATTTTCAATTCAGTGAATTTAACACTTTGAGCTATTTAATTTTTAATGCTATGAAATTTCCTAAAACTTGCTGCCATTATAACTAGCGATAACCATATGACCGTCAACATAAAGTTATTGTTTCTTGTTTACTTTTTAGGTCAGAAAGTTTAGAGTTCGATAGCATACTTCCAGACAACCCACAAGAATATGATAATTTACAGCCGCCCAGAGAGAAAGGTAAGATTAAGAATTCCTGTTATATTCAATATTTAAATCCACAGTTAAAGGCAAAAAATATTATCATTATCTTTCATACACTTAAGTTGTACCCAAAGGTCCAATTACATGGACTCAATTTCAAAATAGTAATAATATGTGAAAATAATAGTATATTATACCTAAAATTTAGTCCTTCAATTATGCTTAATTCATCAGTTGGTTTTCATTATCCATTTACGTAATCTGTCGACGATCGTTATAACGTAATTCTGAGGACGTAAATTGTGAAAAATGTGACATCTTTAATTATTGGGTTGTTTCAGTTCAAATGGTCAATTACTACGTAGTTCTCATTTTGAATTTACTATTATACAAGGCTTGATTGCCGCATAGACAGACGATGCCCAAGACTTGGGCTTCATTATCGTCCTAGAACTCCTCATAGCCCTATTGTTCTTGCAAGAAGTTGCATGAAACGAGAATTAGATGCCCTCGAAATACTACTGGGCTTTGGCCTGGGTCCTTAGACTGCATTAATCGCGCTCATATATGGTATGGTAATTCCATGCGCCACCAAACAAGTACAACCATGGTGATATCATTATACCACCAACTGGCTTCTGTTTTCTGCCTACAATGCAATGTTTGCAGTTTAACCTTTTAAGATTCAATTCCAAATATACGGAAACTGAGATATAGCATTTAGAGAAAGACGGCAACTAGTAAGTTGAGCGCTTGGTTCACAAAGTGATGTAAGTTTCTGTAATGTGTCCATTGTTTGTAATCATCACTCAGTTACCCTGCACCATTGATATTATAGAATCTAATCCACGAAAAACTTTCCGGAAGACATAATGAAAACCGAATAACTTAAAATGTGCTTACACCTAGCAGGCAATAGTAAATTAAAAATCCTTGATAAATGGACCACCTTGCAATGCTGAGGGCACCAGAAGGTTCTTTCCTTTTGTTTACCCTAGACTGCATTCAGAGTCTTTCCTCTCTATTAATTTAATGTTTCTCGTTTTTTATCTGGTCAAGGTGAATTTGAAACTTACCTGTTTCGTTCTAATCTGATATCAAATAATTTAAGTGAATTTTAAAACTAAAGTACCTCAAGATGTGGAGCATTTGATGTTTTTCATTTCCTACCATTGATGGCTCTAGATTATGCTTGCAGAACGATTTGAAAGTGTTCGTGACTTGCTCGGTGAACTTATCTATTTTCATGATGTCCAGACTACTGTTCTCTATTTTTGTTCGTTTTATTTATGCACGTAATGTTTAATGTTTCAGTTAACTTACTTTTGGAAGCCCCGTGCTGTATATCTGTGGAGCACGGGGAGATTGTATGTGTTCAAAACAACAAAAAATAATACAGTATTTTCTAATCGTAGAACACAAAATAGGTCATTCATGATTATTTTTTTGGTAAGCACGAACAAATAAAGCCGAATACTCCAATGCATGGGGATCATATATAACAAGTGAATCCTTTGCTATCTTGCAGATGATCTACTTGGCAGGACTTTTAAATCTCTGCTAAATGACAATTTTATGGCCTTTACGGAATCGGAAAGGTTTCGCAGGTGGTAGGTCTCATGTTTGCTTCTATTTAGATTTCATATAATCTTTCCTTGAAAACGCACATACTTTATAAATACCTGTCTTTTTCGGATGATAATTATAAATGATAATTAATTGATGATATTTCTTTTTGTGACCAACCCTTTTATTTAGAAGTCACTGAGTGCTTATTAGTACTAACTAAAACTTTTGTAACCGCTACTTTGCCCAAAAGAACGTTTTAAATTTAGTGTTATTTTTTATCTTAGACAGCTAAGCTATGGAAAGATAACAAGAAATATGAGAAACATATAAATTGAGTTGTAACTTCTTTATAACTATACTTCTTTAACACAAAAAGACAGTTCTGAAGTACAAGTAGAAAGCCCCAGAGACAGAAAACTAAGCTCCAAAATGCGACGGTATAAACCATCTCATATTAAATTCTGTCATCTGAGTATACATGTTTTCGCATTCGAAGCGAAAAAAAGGAATAAATGAATTCCGCACTGAAATCCCATTTTGAATTCCTAACTTTATTGTCTGTTTATTTTTCTCACCCCATTGTAAAGAGAGTCTTCTCACAGTTGCTGTTACACTTATTTTTTGCTCGTAAAACTTTTCATATTTTGTAACCGTCTCGCATTTCTGAATGAATTAATGTGCAGAATTCGTAAAATAAATAAATTCGTCTACTTAGCTAAGATATATACAACAGGTATATGATGTCCAGTAGCAGCTGTTTGAAAGTTTTGTATTAATTTAAGAAAGGTTTCTACCTGTTAGTTTAGAGAACTGAAATATTTGCCTGAATATTTTGCATGTTTTCTTTTGTTATAATTTTGTCCATATTTATAATAGGCCTAATTATTAAAGCAGAAATTAGACTTTGAATTCAACATTTAACAGAATTAAGACGAATGATGATGTCGCTGTATTACAATGACAGGCTGACGAAAAGCTAATTTCGAAATTTTAAAAGTTGATTCACTTTTTAGCTAAGTACAAAATAAAATATTTTGAAAAAATTTCGGCATGTGTTCAATTTATCTATATTAAGTTTTAAATCCTTCCGATATTTTTGAATGCTTCCATTCACATATTTTTCCTTTCATTCTCAATTTAAATTATTTTATATCTATTTTATCTCTCTAATGTATTTCAGTTCTGTCTGTAGATTTAAATTTTAATCTCTGCTTTTCTAGAATTATTGACGTTATTCATATACATTACATATATCTCGAACATATCACGAAATAAAATAATATTTTACTTGGAAACGACGCAACAAACATTACATATATATATATTTGTTAAATTTATAGCATAGTGTGCATAAATTTATAAAAATATCTGTTTTGAATGAATATGTGTGTGTAATAAATTTACATTTGCTGTACGTGAACCGCTCTTTAAGCTTTCAAAACTAATTCTAAGCTCTTAAAGTCTAACAGAGACAAACCTTAAATTCGTCTAAACATACTTTCAGATCTGAGAACACATAACCTATTAAAAAATTTCTTATTTTATCAAAGAGGTGGTGTAAAAGCAGGGAGAAAATATCACAATTCTGACAGAGATCTTCAGTCAGTTGCATTGTATTACTTAGATTTCAGCAAAGCACATGAGCGCTATCTGCTTAATAGGAGGGATGGTTTCCTAAAGGGTTTTTTAAGCATTACCGGGTCGTATTTGCGTTACGAATGGAGAAATTAACGAAATTCGAGAAACATTGTTAGCATAAAGGCAGGAAAACAGCCTATCATAAATTTGGTCGCAGTTTCGGACCCGGAGAAGGCATGGGTTATTATAAGAGTGTAGTGCGGCATATGGAACACTTAAAATATTGTCGAGTTAAAAGTTATCTGAAGAAGTTATTGAAAGAGGAAGAAGTGTAGGAGACCTTTGAAACCGTCCCCTGGTGGATTCTCCTTCAGACCTGGGAAAATGCATATCGACAGACTCAAATCTTGTCTCGTCCCCTTGAAACCCTCATGGACTTAATCTAATGTTACGCTCAGATAACTGACATTATAGAGTCATGAGGATTATTTTAAAGCAAGAGACGTGAAAAATGAGCAATTGCCAGTACTCGAAACTGGACATCTCGAATACGCGCCCGTGTGGTAACTATTACGCTACGAAGGCAGGCAGAAAGCAAGGAGAGAATGCCTTATATATTTTCACGCTTTTTCGGTTTCTTTTTCCTGCTAACTGCAGCAGATGTTTCCATGGATATGCATTTTAGATCTTTTCAAAAAGACCGTCACCAGATTCTTTAAATTAAACATTTTCTAACCGAGTGTGCTAACCGTTACAGCATGAACGCATGCAGAAAGAGGAATAAAATACCTTATAAGATAGGTCACGATAGCAACGAAACTTACCATGCAGATAGACTGTGCTCATAGGTTTAAAACCATCTCGAACTATCAGTGTTCTTCGATTGCACCGCTCAGCTGCTAATGGGATTAGGAGATGAATAGAATAACTCTCCAGAGGACTGTAGCATATGATAATTACCACTTACTTAAAGTAGCCGAGATACCGTTAGGCATTTCCAGTCCTCCTATAGATTAAATTTCAAGGGTTGGGCAAAAATATGGAAACACCTTTAAAAAAACATGTTTCTTTGCTTAATATGGTGTAGGAAACCCGTTGGCTTCCAAAACAGCTTGCAATCTTCTCGGAATGGATAAATACAGTTCCTGTATGTTTGCCAAGGGAATATTATACCATTCTTCCTGCAAAACGGTGGCAAGTTCAGATAACGATGTTGGCGGTGGATAACGAGAACACACTTTCCGTTCCAATGTAGACCACAAAGGTTCGATAATATTCAGGCTGGTGACTGTGGTGGCCAGGGGAGATGGGACAACTCATCCTCGTGCTCAGAAAACCAGTCCTGGGCAATGTGAGCTGTGTGAACAGGGGCTTTGTCGTCTTGGAAGACAACATCACCATCGGGGAACAAAGTTTGTACCATGGGATGAACTTGATCGGCCAAAATGTTCACATTAAGTCTTGGAAGTCATGTGCCCTGACACAGTTATCATGGGGCTAGCAGAGAACCACGATATGGCTGCCCAAACCATAACAGAACCCCCTCCATGTTTCACTCTTGGCAACAAGCAGTCTGTATTATAGGCTTGAGATGGCGTTCCCCAGACGTAAACTCGGCCAGAAGTGGGAAACAATGTTCGAGAAGACTCATCAGACCATATTACTCGCTTCCACTGCTCTATAGTCCAGGCTTTATGACTTAAACACCACCTTTTCCTGTTACGGGCATTAGCATCATTGATGAGTGGCTTCTCAATTGGCAGCACGGCCAGCAATTCCCTGTTTTATGAAGCTCCCTTCTAATTGTTTTGGTAATCACAGGGTTCGGTAACATAACATTCATTTCAGCAGTAACTTTTGCAGCTGTGGTCTTCTTATTTTTCGTCACAAT